CTACATAACCCATTGTCTTTATGACTTCACTGGTGATCACAACACTTTCATCACACGTAACTGTTTCTTCCAGATTACAACATGTGCTATTATACCTCTGTGCTAATCCATGTACTGAATTTTTCTCCCAGAATGCCTATCGTTCCTCTTCTTTGTGGGTAAATCCTATTTCTCCTCTAAGATCAACCTTTTAAGTTACCTTCACTGTAATTTATTTTTTTTCTTGTGTAGCTCACCTATCCTGGGAGCCCCTAGTGATGTGGACTGTGTCTTACTATATTTGTGTCCTCAGTAGTGATACATAGAACCACTCAGTACATGCTAAGGAAGGAACAAATTACTATTCTGGGGAAGTCTTTCCTCAATAATTCATTGTTTTTTTGTTGTTATTGTCGTTTTAATGGCCAGAGGGCACTTCATTTACCAGAAAGAGAGAGGGAAACGGTACTTCCCTTAGGCTGCAGTCACATTTCAGTCCCTTGTCCTCCATTTCTACATCTTGTGAAGATCCTGAACATGTTTTTCAAGCAACCAGGTCCAGGATTTGAATCACAGTCAACCATGAGGAATCCATATTCCTTAATTACTAGGCTATAAAACCACTTCATTCATTTATTTTAATTTGACCAGAGAGAGTCACACCAAGAGAGAGAGGGAAAGTGAGGAAGCAAGCCTGCAGGTCTGAGACTCCAACCCTGGTTGCCCATGTGGGAGCGTCTAGCACCTTAACCACCACACCACCTGTTGGCTCCTACTTTATTCTTTTTTTTTATTGTAAACATTCTTAATCTTCTGACAGACTTTGTCTAGGATAGTCATTATTTAACAGTGCTATGTCAAATGGAGTCAATAAGAAATGTGTTTGTTTGGTGGCTACTATTGTTTTGGAGAGAGGGGATTATCTATTTCATTTTTTACCAAAATACATAACTTGATTGTGATGAGAAGAGAGATAATAGAAATTTAAGTACGTCAAATCAGCTGTATATTATTGAGAGATTCATAATCAAAAGATGGTCACAGAGTGGGAAAAAGAGCATGCTTTAACAAATCTAGTCCAAAACAGTGGACAGCACAAC